TGTAATCACGGATATTCAGGATGCTGGAAACGTGCGAGAGCTTCATTAAACAAAACATCGGCAAAGCGAAAGATCCGGCTTCTCCGCGTAGAAACTAATTATATTATTGTTACGTTCTGTTCCAGCTACGAAACGGATGAAAATAAAAACCGGTTACACGGATTTGTCGGTGTAATTGTTAAAAATTATCCTCGACGATCGGAACGATACGTAAAATTTTTCGTTTTTAACGAAAATGGCAAGAAGATCGGATAACAAATACATCCATACACCCGGAAGAACGAAGGCTTGCTCTACGTGAATTGTTCGTACAACTTAATTGAGAATACTGTAGAAGCAAGAAAATTGTTGAATAAACTTCAATTATACCATGATTACGATATCAGATTTTCCTATCGCAGACGAGCTTTTCAAAATTAGCATTTCATCGAGCTATAAAATTCTAGCATCGACATTAACCAGACTGCGAATTTTTATGAACAGAATCAAGGGAATGAAATTATTTGCAAATCTGCTTCACTCTTTAAACGTTTTAATGAATATTCCGCTTTGTATATTTGTATACTTTGTCATGCCATTGCGTACTATATGCGCTGCGTATAATTTTTTTATTTTCAAATATGTCGCAAATGTCGACGATGGCAAAGAGTAAAATCAATACGAGCCTTGTTAATTTATTTACGAATGAATCGCATGCAAAAGAGCAAAGGGAAGCGCGAGCATTCCGATACTTTTGTGCTTTGTACATTCCTTCTACATACTGTACAATTTTTGAAACAATAATGTAAAAAGAAAGGAAGAGTAAATATAGAAACATAGATCTCGAAGCGGAAATCACGACCGATCTCGAAGCAGAGGGAAAAGGAAAGGGTAGAAAGCATCGTCTATAATCGAGTCCATAAAACTGCTCGAAATTTCATTCTTCTACAGCCTCGTTCTCGTTATCAACGGTCCGTTGGAATATAACGCGGTTAAACGACAGGGAAACGGCCACGATGAAAAATAATCGTCGAAATCGAGAGCATCGGTTGCACGAGAGAAATTAAATCTTTCGTTTCTCCTGGACGCTCGTCAGCGACATACACGACCGAAATTACTCTTACAGAAGAAAAAAAAAAAAAAAAAAAAAAAAAAAAATAGCCAGCTATGTACGTGCTCGAGTCGTGAAAATTGACCAATTGTTCTCCATGAAATTTCGCCCCTGAAAAATTCTTATCTCTTCTTGGAAATATTTGACACGGGACAGGATATCGAAGAACGACGCTAATTCCACTAAACGATGCTGTCATATTTCATAGATATTAGCACATTTATAGAAAATGAGGCTTTCTATAGAAAACAATGTGGAAGATAATCGACGGTTGTTAAGAAGTTGTATTATTTTTTATTTTCAACGGAACTCCGCTTGTCCGAGAACTTCGTTCGTCGAAAAATCGTGTTTCGTGTTACTCGATTGATTTAGGATGTCGAGAAGAAGATAAAAGTACAAAATACTTTAGGAATATTATGTTGACGCAACACTTTTACTTTTATTTAACGCTGAATATCTCGAGTTTGTATTTTACACGAATTAATCCGTTAATAACGAATTAATCTATTAATAACATCGACGTCGATTCAAAATCACAGTTTATACAAAATCAGTAGCGTTCGAACACCTGTGAACAGGGGTGTACGTGTACGATATGAAGCGAGAACCAGTGGACGAAAAGAAACAGGAAAGATTATCAACGAATGATGAAGCGCGATCACCACGAGATCGAAGATCGAAAAGGAATCGTGGTTTTTGCCCAGCGTCGAGCCAATTTTTAATTTCATCCCCCTTTTCACAACCACCCCTCTCGTTCATCTCGGCTAATTTCTCCAGGACTAATTAATCGTCTGATCGTTGGAAAAGTAACCTTGCCATGCACACAACGTCCAAGAGAATGATAATACGTCGAGGATTGTACGCAGAGGAGGATGCAGTGGCAGACTGGGGGGTGCAGCAGGGGGCGGGAAATACGCAGAAGATCAATACTGTCCTAGTGAACGCACAAGACGTAACCACTGCTGCGGTTATTTTCGAGTAATTGCGTTTGCCACTTCGATTAAGCGTTTACAGCCTCGTCCATTTTCTGCAGCTTGAAGGTACGCTTGTGAATCGAGCGCAAAGTCACAGACGCGCATTTAAAAGCGTAAGAGAAGAAAGTTAGATGCTAGTTTCGATTATCATACGCTTCATCGACGTGTAAGCCGCTTCGACGTCGATTATCGGCAAGTTGACGGCCCGATTCGACTCGATTATCATGCACGTACGCTTGTTTCGAAAATCAACGAGCTCCGTTTCGATCAGTCAGCCTCCGGCGATGATTATGCCGCCTGTGGCGTGCGATGAAATATGGTGGTCAGCGATTGGTTTCGTCGTACCGTGTTCTATGTGTTTTTGGGCTCGGAGCGTCGAGAAAATGATATCAGAGCTCTACGTTAACGCCACTCGTGTGCGGAGCGGAAAATTTGTATGAAAAAATGACGACGAAGAAACGATCGGCGCGTAAAAATGTACTTTACGATGTAAGGTGAGAATATACTTCGCGAGAAATCGTTCAAATCTTCAAAAATTGGTTTCGTCGTACTGTGCTTCGCACGTGCTTTTGGGAAGGTTCAATTTTGGTTTGGGCTTAGGGCGTTAAAAATACTTGCGAAACCGTGAAAGTTGAGCCGAAGGTTTACGTTAACGCTACTGACGACTAAAGTATAAAATTTCCAAGACTAGAGATATCGACGATGAAAATACGAAATTTAAAAAACGACAGTAATCTTCTTACTGTTCTAGGCTTCTCAAAAAAAAAATCTAAAAATTTACTTACATACTTATCAACGTGTCTATCATACTATACAATAGTTGGTTAAGTTATACATTTAAAACGCTCTTCAACAAATATCCAAAAACAGAATTCCTTTTGTATCTTCGATGACCTATTTCGTATGCATAAATAGTTAACGCAGACAATATTTGCACATGTTAAAAGTAATATTTAGTACGTGTATAAATTCGAAATTTTACGTTTAAATATTTAATACGCATTGAAATCTGGTATTTTACATTTGGATATTTAATGCGTGTCGGAATTTATGAATTTTACGTTCAAATATTCGATACCGCGTTAAACTTTAGTGTTCTTCATTCGGATATTTAACGTGCATCGAAAATGAAGATTTTTCCATTTAAATATTTTACTACGAAGCACTAACGCTGATACAAACGTTTTTGAGATTAGGTTAGTGGCAAGGATGGAATTCAGGCTGGCTTCTTCGAGATCGTGTCGGAGGGTTGATGAGCGGGGTGGTTTCCTGAATTTTGCATAAGTGTGCGGCTATACAAGGTGGAAATACTCCGCACGTTCCTGTTTCGGACTAGGCAACCCATAATTCCCTTCGTTCATATCCTCTCAAGGACTGTATTTATCACGGTTGAGGAAGTTTCGGTGTTTATCGAGGAAAGGGAAGGAGTTTCCAGCCCTTGTAGCCTTAATTAGAATCGCAGAGGGTTTTTCTTGTCACTGACGAGGAAGGAAGAAACAAAACACCGGAAGAATGGAGATTGCGAATATTTAAAGCGAAAGGCAGAGTCACGTTTGTTTCATTTGATATTCTTTCAACTTGATATTTTGCCTTTCTCGGCACGAAGAGAAGAATTATACTCTGGGTTCCTTTAATTTACCTACTTTCTTCACACCGTTTATACAAACTAAAATATTTCGACATCTGCCATGGAAAATTTTTATAAATAGGGTTTCATTTGTTTAATAATTCTTTTGCTACCTTGATGAATTCTGCCAAGTGTACGGTGTTCCTAGTTTGTCCTAAATAAATAAAAAGATATAATTTATCCTGTTTACTCTGCGTTATTCCTAGTTTGTCCTAAATAAATAAAAAGATATAATTTATTCTGTTTACTCTGCGTTATTTATAAGCAGCAATATTAGAATACAGCAACAAAATAATCAACTTTATTATAATAATTATCTTCTGGATACAATAAAAGTTACCAATGTGATTCAGAAGAGTTTCAATATAATCTGCAGCGATCGCAATTATAATCGTCGTATGCTCGGAAACGTTTTGCCCTAAGTCAGAAGACAGAGAAGCCACAAAAAAAAAGAAAATATTCCTATGAAAAACCAATACACCGTACGCACAACATAATAAAGATAATTCCAAAAATACTAGGAGACTCGATAACTCGATTCACGTGTCACATAAAATTGGTAGATTAGCGTAGAATTTCTTTTGACATTGGTTTCGGTATAAACAATCGCCTTTAGATTTTACATTTGTATTTGGCATTTGCATCTTGGTCCTGCTTTTCGTACACACTGCAATCGACTTTCTTATCCAGGAAGCCGATATCAAGATATTCGGCCATCGCGAAAGCTTGAAACGCAAAGTCTATAATTTATACGACGCGTCGAATTGTGACGCAACGATAAATCGATCTTCTTAGCTGTGCAATGTGCAACACGTAACTGGAGCGTGTCGAAATCTGACTGTTGTTTGTTTTATCTGCTCTGTCTAAATATTTTCATAAGCAACTACGGTTACTACATTAATAATATACATACATTGTATTATTAGCAATATATATTGTATTATGAGTATTCGCTTATCTTCGAGCGAGTTTATACCCGTAGCTAAATTATTTGAGAAACCTTATGTTAACAATGTCATGTACAGCGTAAAGCGTCGAGTAAATGTTATCTTCCAGTTACATAGCATAGTATCCCTCACGAATACGTAACACCATAGTTTAGCTGGTAAACGAGGCAAGATTAACATATCAACGTATTTGTGAATTAAATGAACAGCAACAAACGAACATTAATTATTATGTATCTAACTACACCGACGGCGATAACATTCGCCTATGTGATGCGTAAAAAATTGGTCAACGAGATAACAGACTTTTCGTCGTCGTTCGATAATTCTTCCATTTACTTGTTCTTTTCGTTCGATTTTTCTCTCTCTTCGTTTTCCATACTGTTACGTATTAAATTTTCTTAAATTCTTCAATTTTCTTTCGACAAACCTCGAATTTGTTAAACAAGCCACAAATCCCGTTAATTACTAGTACCATGAAAATCTACTTTCGACTTGCTCACGCGAATATCTGCGTGGTTCCATTTCGTTCTTTTTCCATTTTTACGTGAATTATGGAAGCTTTGTTGAAAGCTTGGTTGTAAAAGAAGAGCAGAAAGAGAGAGGGAGAGGGGGGGAGGGAGTGAATGGAACACGAATCGCGAAGTAACGAGGTTGGTTTTGGTAAATAACAAGGACGCTGACCGGAGAATGTTTTTGCATTTTCAACCGTATACGCCGTTGACACAGCATTTTCTCCGTTAGCAAAGCGAAGGTCTTGTTTTGCAATTCCGTCTTTTATCCATTACGTGGCGCAAATCATTCCGATAAAAACGTATACCAGCGAGCTATTCAATGAGAATCGAAATTGACAAAAAACCGTGCTTTTTGGTACCGCCATTACATCTGACATAGCGCTTGCATCTTTTATATACTTTTTACTAGCTCCTCGTAAATACCGCCTTGCTTCATAAAAATTCATGAAAATAAACAAGCCGTAAATAAACAAAATCTCGCACTGCTATACTCCTGTTTCTTTGTTCCCAATCGAACCTAACAATCTTGCAACATCTTTTACCTAAATTACCTTTATACTCGTGCGTTTCCACAAATCGTCCCTTACAGACGTAAGGAAAATGGCAAGGCTAAATAGAGTGCAATTGTCGATGTGTGGCGTCGCTAAGCGAAGACAGTTTCGCGTTTCACGAAATTTTCGCCCGACAGCCGTACTTGAAAGTTTAAAACAGCGCCGTTATTCTTAAATAGATTCTTGTGTTCACAGAAATAAAAATTTGCATAAAAATTCGCAACAGCAAATAGCGCGTTGCTACGTAAAAAGTCAATCTATATCGACCTTGTCGACCCAATTTGACTATTGCACCATCTTTGCAGCATCCAGTGCAACGATGCAAAATCATCGACGCGATTCTCAAGTAACGGCCGTGCCATTAACAGAACCATTTTCATAGACGGATGACCAGGACTCCTTGCTGCTGAGACTCTTCTATAGATATCCGGTCAAGTGCCGAGTCTTACCAACAAGTATCGTGGAGAGGAGTCCCGAGACTCGAGCGTATAAAGGAACCAGGCCAATAAATCTTTCGAGGATATATCAGCGGATCGTTTCGATTTCGTGGTCATATTTATGCCCCCGACGACAAAAACGTCGGCCTGAAGCGTAGCCACGCCACACAGTTGCCTGATGCAACGACGCGCAACTTCTCGAATATCGAAACTTCGGTTTTCGTTGGTTCGATCCGACCGGAGTGTCGACAGAATAAACGAGACGAAAAAGGGGAAGAAAAGCTCGTAACCGATCGTCCGTGAGATCAAAGACGTGCGATATCGAGAGTCGAAATCACTCTGGATCGGCGATTTTCAAACTTTCTCGTTTCATCGAACGTGTATAAACTAATTGCCAGGATGCTGCGACAAGATACAAAGGCGGACGAAAGAAAGTTATCCTTTTTCTTTTTTTAATTTACTTATCGCTTATCGTGGTAATTTAATACAGCTATAATAGACTTGTTAATTAACAAACGATTAGTCAGTTACTAGTTTGCGAATTCGTTTTCGTTTCAGTTTCGCATACTTCGATAGGCCATGCGAAAGATCTATTTCGCTTGGGAAACTTGAAGTCTTTCTGCTTATCGTGCTCGATTCGTTAGACGCGATCGCATACTGTTGGGTATTTTGAAGTAGCGCGTTGTATCTTCGAATTTGGTGCAGTAGGAAAGTGAATGTTTGTTGGTGTTGCAATGCTCACATGATTCAGAATTCTGTCGGTTGGTGAGACGCGAGTATGTAACGTTGGAGTGAACTATGTCGGTTATTTGTATCTGCACCTCAAAATTCATACTTGCGTGCAATGATTACGTTAATAGCAACTTCGTTGTATCGAACATTTGTCACCGTGATGAAGACAGAGCGCGAATCCAAGCTTTTAGGTAGACACGTTTAAATTCCTTGTAGTAATGGCCGCATCGAGTAGGCAAGATAAAAAAAAAATAGGAAATGGAAAGAATATGCGTGTGCAAAGATAAATGGCTGCGGAAAATGCGTGTGCGAGTCAGTTAAAGGTTAGCAGTAAAGTAGAGAGTCGGCTGTATGAGCCAGACTTTTACAGAGTGAATAAGAGCTTTTAGCGAGAGTTTGACGCAGTGTTTTATCGTACAAAGCAAGAATTATAGCTCAGTCAAACCGTTATTGTTAGCATACGTTGTCGTTATCATTATTCTCTTTCGTATTTAACCTAATATTTTCATATATCGTATAATATTTGGAAAAACTAATTTCTATTTAACAAGCACTGTACTATTAATAACTGGAACGCGAGTACGTATGTATTAGGCTGTCCGAAAAGTGTCTTTCTTTTACAGACACGTCTTTTACAACGGTGCATCTTTATACAAACACGAAACCTAATTTGTGATCTTTATTTTGATAGATCAAGAAAGAATGATACGTAATTCGATAAAATGATATAAAATGGAAAATATTGTGCATCCATTATTTCCTTATCAAACGAAAGAAACTTTTCGGACGACCTAATACAAATTCGTATCTCTATCGACGTGTACATTGAAATTGAAATACAGATTTCTTTCATCTGCTACGTAAATAGCATAATGTCACGCGAATATTGCGAGTTTGTGCAATTTTTACAACCTGTAAATCCTACGCATTCTGTGAACTTTCGCATCACTAAATTTTCCACACTTAAATAATCCACAGACTATTAATGACTCGTCGTTAAAAAGAAAGAAAAATTACATTACCAAAATGCGAATATAACATTTATCCAGCGTCTATTAATAACTTATCGTTGAAAAAAAGTACTTGGTGAAATTTATAACATTCGCATAAATCTTCCCAGTTCCGCGTTGCAGAAATTTAAAAACTCCTCGTATAAAGGTCTAACGAAACACATTAGCTGCAAAGTTCCCGTGTAATTTTTCTACCGGAGCACAATGGCGAAGCCTCTTCCCGTTTGCATAATATTCCTGACGAAAGACGATTATACATTGTCGTATATCGTCGGCCAAAGACTTGCGCGCCGCTAAAGACCATTACGAATGATGAATGACCGTGGTGATTCGGCCGGGGTGGCAACGTTTCAATGAATTATCGTTCAATTTCCACCTGTCACGCGGCGACAATATCACCGAAGAAAAAAAAAGCAAAAAGAAAAAACAAGTCGATCCGCGATAAGCGGGTCACGGTTAAAAATAATTATTACGTTACAGCCAAGACCTTTCCGTTATTTCAGTTTCGACCTAACTAGCGATCATAATCGGGAGAAGCACGTCGCTGACGTTGAATCCAGCCAACGATTTCCAACCCGCTTCGACGTTGTCGAACGTCGTTATCGAAACATGGGTATCCAATCGTGTGTGTACACATCGTTGCATAATAATTATACGATTATTCGTATTGCTCGATACTACTTGATTATTCGTATTAGGTCATCCTATAAACAACGTCGTTTCTCGTTAACATATGTATTTTATATTAATATTCGTATTATGTTTAGATGGTGTACCGTAGTAATAATATGCTTTCAGAAACATATATTTTACGAACATATAGGTGTACGTGTATTTTACGAACTTATTGCTCGTATTATACGAAACTTAGCGAAGTTCTATTTTATAGCGAGAAAATTCGAAATCAACGTGGAAGTGAATATAAAAGTTGGAAGGTATTTACAGCAGGTATTAATTATTGATCAGAAATTAATATCCAGCGCGAACAGTGGTCTTAAATATATCTATAATTAGTGGTAGAGAGGATTCTATTAAATACCGTGGATTATTAACATAATGGATAATCGACTGTTTAAATATTTAACATTCTGTAGCATCAAATATCTTGTAGCTTTTATGTACGTTTTCAGACGTACAGTTTCAACCTTCATCGGCACAATCACGATAATCATGACGATGAACTTATAAAAAGCTTTTTCAAGTCTTCGAGTACTTGCAACATATTAAAAAGTTCAACAGTGCAGAGCACATAAAAACAGTTTGATAATTTTCCAAGTTTACCTTATTTTTCTTTGCATATGTATTAATGTATTAATACTTATAAACAGGGATGTGCATGTATATAAAATTGACTAACAGCATATTTTATTTCCAAATCGTCCCCTGAAATAAAAAAAACCTCGTGTTTCTCGAAATGCTATAAACTAAATACTAGAATACTAAATACCAGTACTGTAAATACTGTACACTGTACGCATGTAGGGTGTTCTAGAACGCTGCTATTTCCCAGCGTTTTTTTTTTTTTTTTTTTCGTAAGCGATAAACACGAGGAAAGAACGAAGGAGGAGAAAGAAGGAAAAATATGAAATGAAGAAGATGAAAGGGGAGAAAGAAGGAAAGATGTCATATGGACAAGATGAAAGAGGAAGCAGAATGAGAAATATCATACGAAGAGCAAGAAAAGACGCAAATATTCTTGTATTTGCGTTCCCTTCGTCTTACGTATGATAAATTCTACAAAATTAAACTGAAAGCATCTTTGAAATTAACCAGTCTCCGACCGTGTCACTCAGACACATTTTTTCCGCAGAACAAATATGCAAAAAAAAAAAGAACAATTTTTTTCCATTTAAAAAAATAGCGCAACTGCAAAATGCGCATGTATTTTTTCACTCGCAAAACAAAATATTATCTGGAATACGCAGTTCACGTTGAACCGTACGTCTTTCATGCTTGTCGCTCGCGAGAAAAACGCTGGGAACTAACAGCGCGGACAGCCTGTATATAAAATTGATCGACGAAACGTAGAATTTCAAAGTTTGTCGATCGAAAATGATAAATTGCTGCTAAAACACCAAATGTATGACGCATCGTGTTCTTCTCGTCTGTGACGTTTATACGGCACGACCCAATACAAAGTTAATACTGGCGTTGCACGTCGCGCTGCGCCGGTTCCTCAATTGTTCGCGCGGCACGCAGGAGGATTCTCGCGATTTTCGACATCGTCCATTACGCACATAGGTCACGAGAACTTACGCGCGCCGAGTTTTAGATTTATGTAATCGTGTGGACAGGCAAACACACGTTGCACGTAATTACACGCGCTGCTAGGAAAAAATATCGAACACATCCGCCTTGCAGCACACTAGCTCGGGCCTCGTTAATGCGCGCATGCCGTTTTCTCTGCGCTCGCAGTGATTTACTGGGGCCGACGCGTTTGCGACCCGGAGCTTCCGTGGCTCGAGATTTACTATTTCTTCCGTTTATATCGGGCATCTGGCTAATTTTTATGGTCACTGTAAATTATCCTTCGAACCAACGACTTGCAGTTTTGGATTTACCGTGCTTTATTTTACGCGCGACTCGAAGGTGATACTAAAATGGATGGATTACAGGAATTTATCGATTCGAACTCGAACAGCCATCTTATACGGGAGAAACGAAGAACTGGATGGAAAAATGGTACGAGTGGACTTTCCTTCTAAACGAAATTTCTGCTCGTATCTATCGGCGATTATGTTACGAATGTTTCACGGTTTCGAGAATTTGATCGATGCAAATAGTAATTTTGAATGATCGGACGAAAAATTCAGTGGGAAAGGGTACAGGATCTTTTTTCTTCACGAGGTTTACGTTTATGTCCTAAGGGTACTCTTACTTCAAAATTATTTTAGGAATATTTTAAGCTTGTCAACTGAAAGGATCATTAGATATTGCCAATGCGATATTGTCGATATCGTACAATGATTCTGACAAGCTTGAAATATTGGCGATATTATTGATTATCTGAGAACACCCTGAGGGACTTTGTTATGAATTTTTAATGTTCGAAGATGTGCATATTCTCCGATATCGTAATGGACGAATTATAGCAATTTATCGATTCGGACAGGAGTCTAATAACTGAAGGATTTTATTCAAAAATGGTTACTACTACTTTACGTACACGTTACTTTCCATTGGACTATGTAATATTAGGTTGTCGGAAAAGTTTCTTTCGTTTTATAAGGAAATAATAGACGCACGATGTTCTTTGTTTTATATTAGATTATTGAATTATGCACGAACATAATAATAGAAATAAAACGAAATGGATCATACCTAATTCAATAAAATAATAACAGAAATAAAACCTAATTCAATAAAATAAAACAGAAATTATTGCTCGTCTATTATCACCTTATGAAACGAAAGAAACTTTTCGGACAACCTAATACGCTTCAAAAGTGCCATTTGTACTTGAAATATCACTTATCTGTTACTGATTAAATTCCAAATCTTTCTCAATACAAGGTATCTCATATCTTTGTATACGATTAATCTCAAACAAAAGAGACATTGCATCGCATAATACCAGATTAGAACAATTACTCTCTGGGAATATAATACTTAACTTCACACTCTGGGATTAAGGTAATAATTCTTGAAGATTTTAATAATTTCATAACAATCGTTCCAATTTACTTAACACTAACCTTACCAGAGCCGGTCAAGCGACCGGTTTAATTTAACGACATTTAATTTAACATCGTAATTAATTTCTGTAAATTCTTGTATTATCCGATTAGCCAATTTCTCAATTCTTTTCTTACCGAGGAATACTCATCGCCTGTCTTATTTACCTTAACCGATCCACGAATTTACATCTTTTTCTAAAGTTCTCTGCCTGAACTATAGCTATAGTTGCATACGTCTGAATGCAGTATCGTATATGTCGAGTTATCATTAGGTTTAGGGGCGTGTAACGAATCTTCATTCGGACTAGTCATCGTTGTTGTACAATAAAGATTACATTTACTGGTATAAATATGGCTTTTACAGAATTTGACAAATAACCGTGGCGATTAGACACTCGAGATGTTAATGACAATGATCTTAGGTTCAATAACGAATCCACGGACAACGGGATAACTCTTTGTTAAACGTAGAATATATTTTAAAGCACAAAAATGTTCGCTGGGACGCTCGGTACATACTGCTCGTAAAGACGATGTGAAACTCTCCGAGGAGATCGCACGAAAT